GAGCATCTTTGCATGAGTGGGTCTGGCATGAGTCTGGGTGTAGGTGCCCATGAGTGTATGTGCCCCAGCTTTGTGGGGCCCCCGAATCTGTCTCCTCACCTTTCTGCAGGCTTCATCTCCCCCAAAGCTTCTCTGTCCGTGGCAGGCCCCAGATAGGCTCTGCCTCCCCAGGGAGACCAGGTAAAGCCATTTGGTTTGGGGATGTGGCTGGAGGTCCAGGAGGGACATGCCCGGGAGAGTGAGTTGGTGGAGGGATGGGGCATGCGGGCAGGACACCCACAGGAGCTGACACAAGGAGGGAGGTCCTGAGGTCCATCAAGTGCGGGGTACTTCCCTGGATGCCCCCACCCACCCAGGCCAGGCCCCACCAGAGGGACAGACTGAGACCATGGTGCAGAGCCACCACCACCACCGTCAACCCCACCCCACCATAATAAGCTCCTACTGTGTGTCAGGCCTGGTGCCAGCAGGTTTGTGTTTATTGTCCAGGCTAATCCACACAACAATCCTTGTGTACTCCTGTTCCCAATTTTATAGATAAGGACTAGAGGCTCACAGAGGCCAAGTGGCTTTTCCAGGGTCACACAGCTAGTAAGTGGGGAGCTGGGATTCAAACCTAGTCTGCTTCACCCTAAAGGCCCTGCTCTTTCTGCTAAGTCATGCTTCCTCCGGGGAGTAACATGTCAGGTACCAGAAGTGTCAGGACAAAGCAGAGGCTGGATCCAAGGAAACCTCGGGCAGCCAATGAGGACGCAGGGAAGCGGGGAAGTCTAGGACAGAGACCCTAAAGGCTCTTCCCCGGTCAGGCCAAGGGGCATCTTGGAGGAGACACTGGGAGCCCAGCAAGACGCCTGTCCCTGGCTTGCTGTGAGGTCAAGAAGGCAACTGGACCACCATCTCTCACTGGAAACTCTAAGTCCCAGCAAAACAGAGTCCTCTTTCTCACTGGGTGCCCAGCAGCAAACGGCTCCCTTTGNGGCCAGCCTGCTCCCGTGACAGGGCTCTGCAGCAATAAAGTAAGGTATTTCCTAAAGTCAGCAAAGGCCTTTGAGCCCCTTGGGTGCTCTAAAAATACAGCTGCTTAAACGGCCACAGCAGCCACAAAGACACCATATGCGTTCAAGGTTTCAATGTGTTTGTCCAAATCCACGCTTCGGAAAAATAATAAAGAGCAAGTGTTTTTCCATGGAGAAAATGGCCGGACTGCAGGACCACGGCTCAATTAGCTGTGGGTGGATTGACCCTTCTGCAGCGTGTCCTAAGCAAACCTTGCCTCCTCT